GTAAGAGTATAAGCAGTAATCGGGAAGATTAGGGTTCGGAGATGTTATTTAAAGAGTATAATCCAGTGAAATAAATTTAAGAAGAGAAAAAAGAGACAAGGAGGAATCAGGAGATTAGAATTTGGGAGAACACAAAGAATGGATGCACCTGCACAATTGCAAACGATTTTGAGCCATGTCATTCTGGGTCTCTAACCATCGGTTGCTATCATCTCGCGGTCCCCAACCAAGTAGTCTACACCTACCAACATGGCTCAGTCCACTTGTCAGTGACTTCAAGGACTTGTGCCATGTTTTGGTCTGGCCGCGCCTAGCTTTCTTCCAACCTACTCCTATACCACTGAACATCGCATGTCGAGGCAGTCGGTCGTTGGGCATACGTAACACGTGTCCCAGCCATCTCAGTCGATGAAGATTCACAGCCTCATCAACTGATTTACCATCATTCCCTAATACCCTGCGTTTAACCTCACTATTACTTACCCGGTGATCCCAGCAGACGCCAACAATATTTCTAAGGCATCTGTGGTCAAATACTAGTAGCTTGCGAGTGTCTTCTACTCTTGATGGCCATGTTTCGCTGCCGTAAATTAAAACAGAACGAACTGCCGAACTCCCAGCAGTAGGCCTACGATGAAATCGTACAGAAATGGAGATGGTGAACAGCTTGCCAGACACCACTTGAAGTTGCAAAATCGCATGACAGTTCTCCATAAGCTCTCACTCGACCAGTTGTGTTCGAGTAGAGAGCCTTTATAAGGTTAGTGTACTTCTTTGGTACTCCTTTCAGTGACAAACACTGCCATAGAACATCACGATCAACAGAGTCGAATGCTGCTTTAAGGTCGAGAAATACTACCATCGTGGGGCGTTTGAACGTGTGTCTGTGTTCTAAAGCCTGACGTAGTGTGAATATCTGGCCTATACAACCACGTCCAGGTCGAAAACTAGCCTGGTTTTCTCTAGTCTGCTCTTCACGAGCTTTAGTTAGGAGTCGAAGTATTATTGAAGCTAATATTTTAGACACTATATTAGTCAAACTGATTCCTCTGTGATTGTCACAAAAGAACTTTTGTCCGTTCTTATAGACTGGTACAATCAGTGATTGAGACCAGTCAGATGGGATTGCGTCCAGTTCCCAAATTCTACCTAAGACCTCAGTTAATCTCACTGCTAATACTGGACCACCATCCTTAAAAATCTCAGGAGTAAACCTGTCAGGGTCTGCTGCTCTCCCTCGCTTCAGATTTGCGATAGCTTTTTCTACTTCATAAAGAGTCGGAGGACCTTCATTAACTTGCCATTCAGGTTGACTGGAGATCGTGGGAAACCGAAGTGTGGCTGAAGGCCAGTTGAACTGATCTCTAGTGTTCTGTCCATCGATCCAGTCTCCTGGATTGAGAATGTATAATATGTCTAGCTTTTTCTGAAATTGTTTCGCTAACATACGTGTTCCTAATACCGATTTCCTTAACAAGTCTGAACAGTTGTCTGATGTTACCTATTGCCACTGCCTTTTCTTTCTCTCTCGTTTTCTTTACCCACCACTGTTCGTGATCACTGCGTAGGCTTCTTGTCAGCTTGCGCCTAATCTGACTCCGCTCTTCGTTATGTTCAGAGCCAGATGGAATGAGTTTTCGGGCATCTATCAGTGCAGTAGATGCTGCTGAGATCCAGTGTTACTCCCTAACCTTACGGTTTACCGTACTAGCAGATATCACTGCTGTTTCCACATCTTTTCGGATATCATCCCACTCTGCCTCGGAGTAGGCATCACATACAAGGCTGCCTAACTGTTTTCCTAGTTGTTCCTGATACATTTTCTTAGCTCGACTATCATTAAGTATGGCCCTAAGAGGTTTCCTTGCAGCGTCTTTCTTACGTCCAGTAAGACGCAGGCAAATACGCGCTTGCACTAGAGCATGAACTGAATCTAAGCATGTGCTCCAGAATGAGCGACAGTCTTCTATCGAGCCCCTCCGTCGGTGACTGATAGCGATGTGATCTATTTGGGTCCGACGTTGGGAAGAATTAGGGGTCGCCATGTCAAAAGATGTTTTTCCTTATGCTTAAATTTAGTATTTGCAAGAAAGAGGTGGTTATCTGAACATAGCTGCAACAGACGGTCGCCATTATCTGTTCTTTGAGCCACGACACCATAAGATCCACCTAGGTGTCTTTCCCTATAGCTTAGTTTACCTACTTGAGCATTAAAGTCACCAGCCACTATTACTACATGGGAGCGCCTAGCTTTTCGGAGAAGGTCTGAGAGCTTTCTGTAAAATTCATCTTCTACATCATCTGCGCTGCAGTCAGTAGGAGAATAGACAGAGACGACAAAGAGGCAACGACGAGTGTCCCTATTTTTCCGAGTCCTTATTATTCCGTTTAGTCGGACAGCGCACAAACGACTGTCTTCTGGGATCCAGTCTAATAGATCTATTTCTGCCCTAGGACTCAATGCTATACCTACGCCGGCGAGTCCACGAGAAGCCGCATCTGGGCTTTCAGATACACGAAATGTGAATCGAGTTGGTTCTTTGTTTAGACATGGTGATTTCAAATGAATGACGCTACTCGGATCCTGTATGCGCATTTCGGAGACGCAGCACATATCGACGGCGCGAGATCCGAAAGTCCTAGCTAAGGAAGCCTGTTGTCCTATTTGGCACAGTGTTCGGACGTTAAAAGCTCCTACATGTCGTTTAGAGCGTGGTTTCAGGAGACGATGAATAACGTTCCGCGTACTTGAGTCGTTTGCCCTAGCGGTGCGGGGTGAAAAAAGGACGTGAGAAGAGTTACTCGGGGAGACAAGAGTGGTGTTAGAAGGTGTAGGAAGGATTTGAATGTGACCAACTTGGTGTTGTGTGCTGTTACGGGTATGAGGGCTGGTGTCACTTCCCGGCTGCCCACACCGTGGAAGGGTATTTCTTGAGGAACCTGAAAAGGAATTCGGATTAATGTCGGCCCTAAAGGCCTGGGAGCGTGACTGCAGAGCCCAGGTGACAACTGCTTGAGGCCGGTAGCGCACGGCCTTTTTGTGGGAGGTTTTTGACGTTAGCTCCGTTCTTCAAAGGGCCTTACCGCCGTAGAAGGATGTCCGTTAGGCAAGGTGAGGTGTGGCATTTTTAGGGTCGACCTTTTCTAACCCCTTTCTTCTTTGTGAGAAGGCAGCATCGCTGTAGATGCTGGTTGTCCGAGGGAAACACCTTACTGCTGTCACCCCCCTCTACAGTCAGCAGTACGACTTCGCCCTCAGACCTTGAGTTGCTGCTTTTAGTCTTACCGTTCTCCACTCGACCTGGCTGGTATAGTAGAACCTACAGGAACATATGTTCCAGCCAATATAGCTCGGTTGGGTCATCACGATAGGCAAGCCGACCACCGCGTCAAGGTAGCAGCTACGGTCGGGATTAATTAATGAACGAGTATACTGCGCAGCAGTTCGTTCTGTTCTACTTTACGACTGTGAAACGTGGCCATTAAGAGTAGAAGATACTCGTAAGCTCCTAGTATTTGACCACAGATGCCTTAGAAATATTGCCCGCATTTTTTGAGGTCGTCAGATAAGTAATAAAGAGGTTAGGTAATGATTGGTAAATCAGTTGGTGTTTGTAATTCTTCATCGACTGAGATGTTAAGGCAACGTATTACGCATACCCTACCACTGTGTGCAATGCTGACTAGTGTTGGAGATGGATGAAAGAAATTGACACTTGAGGAGGAAGCCGAAAAAGGATCACCGGGTAAGTAATAGTCAGGTTAGACGCAGGGTATTAGGGAATGATTGTAAACCATTTGATGAGGTTGTAAATTTTCATCGACTGAGATGGTTGGGCCACGTGTTGCGTATGCCTGAACACTGATTACCACGACGCGCTATGCTGACCTGTGTTGAGGATGGATGGAAGAAAGTTAGGGGCGACCCAACCGAAACGTAGCATCGCTGCTTGAAGTCATCAACTTCCGGTTTGAGCCACGTTGGTAGATGCAGTCTACTTGGTTGGGGTCCGCCTGACTATCGTAATCAGTGGTTGGAGACTCTGGGTGACATGGCACAGAATCGACCACAATGGTGTAGGTGTATACACTCTGTCTTCATATTTTTCTTTCTATGAACTAATTCTTCTTGACTATGTCTTTATATGTAATATTTCTTTAAGTATTACCACCATTGAAATAACTACTTCATGAATCCGGTGTTCACCTTGTTGTGCCAATGTCGTGTAGCAACTTGGACCGATGCATATATGCGCCTGATCCTACGTTGTAGCTGACTGACTACCACAGTAGGCTGTTGCTGATGTTATCCGATCAACGGACATTGAGTATCTTGCGTAGACAATCGACTTAGACCCAATCTATGAATCTTTTTAGAAGAAATCAATCAACCATAAAACCAGTGGTGGACTAGCAAAGACATTCAACATAAATCCTAATACAAATAAAAGCAAAACCTACAAATATAGTCATAAACAAGCCATTGGAATGATCTAACAGCACACTTGTGAAATAACTAAAAATCTCACTATTATGAATTAAGTCCTGAAGACACGCATTATCCTCAATTAAATCATCTATCTCAGAGAACTGAACACCAAAAGATGTTATCTAAATTCTAGTGATGTTGAGGGTTTTTAGTTAGGCAACCAGACTTGTTTTTATGCTTGAGCCATTATTTAAATATCGTCTTTGATGACAATAAATCTAATACTTTGGTCTTATGCTAGCTAGCAACACTGAAAAAATTAATTGTCTTTACTATATGGAAAGTATTGGCTTTTAATTCTTAGGATAACATTGGTGACTATATAGTCTTGATATTTTGGTGCTTTTCTAACTAGTATGTTCACAATACTTAGCTACTAAATTTAAGTGTACTGCCAAACAGTATCTAATTATATGTTTATATGCCTCGTTTGATTTCATAGTACTAACAAATTATTTTATTTCACAGTTCTAATTCACTTGAAGTGTTTAATGCATTATTATTATTTTAGCTTGATACCCAAATAGCTTTTGGGGAAGACCCCACAAAAACAAAAATGGATGTATGGAGTATATATGCTAGGTGAGTTCCGACGGATTCATACCTGCGCAAATCTATTGATCGCAATATTTTTCTTGTTTAATTCTACTCCTTCTCTTGCGTGAACTCATGATTCTTGCTTATGACTGTAGGAGCAATATCAAACACCCTTTCTTCACAAACATATGCTCCAAATGTCTTGTTGTCTCTAACCCAACTCTCGTGTAAATCGAGTTGGAACAACAATTTTTACTTTTCGTTAGATGATCCGTGAAATGTTCAATTTGTAATGTCAGGTGTTGGTTTGCTAGATAAACCAGGTACAAAGTCCATCAGATCGGCCTGTTCGTGCCACTCACCCATGTTCAAAGCCAACTACACATTATTGTGTTTGGTTGCTGAATCGAATCACTGTTATTATGTTGCTCGCCTGCCTGTTTTATATCCATCTAATGACAACCGTGCTTATTCGCTTATTGATTTTCCATTTTATGACTACCAACATGTCAGCTGGTTGTGACATTTAAAACATCGTAACTAAGTCAACAATCCGATCTTTCGTACCCTAAAGTTGATCGAGTTATCATTTATAAGCTTATGGATTTGATGATTGTGTTTATTAAGCTCCGTTATTTTGAATTCTGTAGGTCTAAAAAACGGTTTTAAATGGTATTATTTATATAATATATACTGTAATAATGTAAGTTAGTATAATATAATGTATTTATTGTGGGTGTATACTAAAGGTGGGTAAAATAATAAGGTGAGCGGATCGAACATGTGTAGATAGATATGGTCATTAGCTAAGTATAGGGTTTGAGTCATACTTTCGTGCCTGATACCGCCTAGTTTCCGAAACCAGCGTTAGATAAAACAATTCAAACCGGGAGGCCATTAGGTGACACTTAGCCTCTTAAGCTACCTTCCTATTTGTGCATTGAACCCCATCTACGAAGCTTGTAATTTCTCTTTGAACTTTTCCTGTCTTGGTCAAGCTGACAAAGGATATTGCATCAAAACCAATGGAGTGCAACAAGACTAGGCAGGTGGGTGTAGCACTTGTTCTCACCAAATGATTCTTTGTGCCTAGTCTTACGCGCGACCCTTGGCTGCGATAATTACGAATTATGAAAGCTTACCATTGAAACCCTAGATAATCGAATGATAACTCACTAAACTAGTTTGTTGAGTTCAGATTAATAACCTCTGTGTCAATGGAAAACAATGGTTTTGAAATTAAGTGTTTAACTACCATAGTCTCATCTAATATTTGTCATGAAGTGCAATTGACAAGATCCCCGAATCGTAGTTCGCAGGACTGTTTTAAAAGACTTCGGAATATCTTTACTTTCGGCTGAATTGTTAATCCAATCCTCAAATGTGATAGAAACCCACTACCAGTTTCATCTAAATCATCGATTACTGTCGTCTTGTACAAGCTCTGTGCTCAAATTAAAAACGGAGATAGGTTCGTTTGTGGTTTAATTTGACTTATAGTATTCTTAATACTATTATATGATTTCCTCTTTTCTCACCACATACCTTTGTATCACAGTATATATCGAAACACTCCGCTATATTTTACCTCACGACAGTTAAGGGTAAGTGATGTGTAAGCTACTGATACCTGAATACAATTTCCCTCTAAATGTCGCTAATGTGACCAATGAGTACAAAATATTATTAGGAGGTGGACATACGTCTGCGCTAAACAAAGTGACAGTTATAAATTACATTACTAACCTTAATAGCTGATGCTAACTTCAGTAGAATTAGATTCGGAAAATACATGAGTCGCTGTACATAGATTTCACCAACCTATTGTTAGGATAGTCGGAAAAATATACCAATAATTATCGTGTTAAATCTACGGCGGCCTTGAACCTTAAATGTACATTTCTTATTGGTCGATGTTTATTTCACTTGTTAAATATTTCGTAAATGTTGTTTCCTATTTTATGGTACGATGTGATATGCTTGGTTGATATATAAACAAAGTATGTTGGAAATATAATGATTCATAACTCCGAGGCTGTGACTTGTGTTCTTGACTCAACTGGCTAGGACAGACAGCGAGGCAGGGCCAATCAGGGCACTAGGTCGTCCTTACATGTTTACGTGTCCACTGTCACCGAATCGATCAATAAATACTCTGCGTATCAAACCCTGCAGTCCCACTCACCCGTTACAACACCTATAAAATCACTGGCTGTTCTTTCGATGTCTGACCAAGTCAATAGCAATGAACCATTAAACTACATGATAAGACTTTTTATAACAAAACAAATATGGTTTAACTTTACAGTTACTTCAATCAAATTGGTTTACGAAAATAGCAAAGTCTGAACACTACTGAAGGAAAAGTTGCTAGCTCCCATTAAAGTATATTTATCCAGAGGACAAATATTTATTGCGTAAAAACACATATTCTCTTATTTTCCTACTTTCAGTATCCCTTTCGAAGAAAACTTTCTAATGTATGGATTTTGCGAAACCCTACATATTTCTTTACTTCAAGATGTTCAAAGGGGTATGGGATATAACGATTTAAGTGCACCAGTAAACCATGATATACGTGAAAAAGTTATAACAGCGTGCTTAAAGTTTTTCAACGTATGTGATTGGAAATCACTCAATTTCTCAAACAAACAATATATTCTAAGCTTATTGGACTCAATCATACACGAGTACGAGCTGCTCTCGAAAAGTGAGACTGATGGCATTGATTCTTATTTCACTGAAATGCTACTTAAAGCTCAAAAGTTCAGGAACATGTTGGAGCCTTATGAATCGCCGAAAACTGACCTGTAATTCCCTAACGAGCTTCTGTAACACAACAGTTGCATGCGATGTACATACTTGCTTTAATATTACATATTTTCGCTTTGAAGTTCCCTGTATTTTGAAACTTAAATCCATTTTTCATTTAAGTACATTTCTGATACTTATAAAACGTTGTGGTAATTATTTGGAAAATATTCCACTCACAACTTCCCTACACCTAGGTTTTCTGTATAACTTGTCAAATACGAATATTTACTAGGTTATCCCAAATAAGTGTAGTAAACTTTATATGATCGTTGAGTTGGATTTACTGAACAAGCCATGCACGTCGCAAGATAAAGGTAACGAGATAGGTTCATTACCCATCGTGTTCATAAATACTATTAAAATATTAGTTTTATGACAGCTACACCGATACAAGAGTTAGAAAAAAATTCCATACTCTTCGGAAATTTGTACAAAGCAATCAGGTACTTAAAAAAAACTAGAATAACGCATACTTGGATAGTGTTCCTTACTTTACCATGTTGTTTGGTTTCCATACCAAGGAAGACATTGCACTGGTTCGTAATTGACTTATTCTCAACAGACTAACTTTTATCTCGGGTATAATTCTCAAATAGGTCAACATGATCTATTTAGTCGACCAGCCATTATCAACGCTGAAGCTGGTATGAACTTGCATCTATTTGGTAGATTCTACAGTTATTTCTCGAAATGGATATACTTGGTAAACATTTTCTAAGTGGATAACCATTCCAAAAACAACAATCAAGCAATTTTCTTCCACCATATGTCAGTACTGCTACAAAGTCTTCGCTCTTTCGATAAACGTGTTTTTGCAGATGATTCTGCGAGCCGATTTGCCGCAGGCTTACTCTCCACTTCACTATATATGATTTCGGCAACCAGAAAGTATAGCTAACCCTTAGTCAAGTACACAACTGTTTGGTGAGAAAGCTACACTACTTAATGATTATTACTACCCCCACTCTTGATGTAGCCTTACTTCCGTTACACACGGGTCTCCAGTCCTGGAATTCAACATAGCCAAGAATGGCAGTAGCTGATCCTTTGTCTAATGTTCATTTCACATCGCCAAAGAATGGCAGGTAACAGCTCAGGAACAATTGAAATGTATACGTAGATGATAACAGCAAAAATTGTGGTGACAACCGATCGCATTCATCTTAAGATTATATATATATAAAGAGAGAGAGTTACTCAAAATATGAATTGCTAAGATTTTGTTAGAGCGGTCTTTTTTTTAATTGAGTTCTATCGGGATATAACCCTCGTTTCCAGGAAGTGCATAGACCTTAACATGTATTTATCTAAAAATAACCATCTAAGCAACATTTAAGGCGTTTTTTAATAGGTACATCTTGATAATTTCTAAGTAGATACAATAGTACCGCGGATAAGCAATATGTAACATACTTTATTATATATTTTTTACTAGAAACCAAGATTCATTCAAATTTATTGTACAAGTCTAAATGCTACAATTTAAGTTGAGATAGTTAATGGGAATCCTGACAAATTAGCTTTATAACAGGATAAACTACATAAGGAGCGGCCTGTTTTAGCACATTCATAGCGCCTAGCACAACCGCAACCCATGTCGCATAGACGTGATTTAGGTATTTCAGGAGCCTCGACTTTTTGTATGCAAACATTTGTGTGCAAATAAATATCCTTGTCACTATTATTATCTGTCTCAGGTAAACAGATGACTGTTTGTGTTGATAAACGAGATGAAGATACAAAGCGGATGTATCCTGGTTTGGGATTATATGATTGAACATTTGGCAAACTAGCAGAAATGTTATTATCAGACAATTTCGTATTTTCATAAGCATTGTCCACAAAATCGGTATTCATGCAATTACCTTCACTGGGTCGTAATGAAGCATGCGTGTCATTGAGATACTCCTTTTCAACTAAATCCCCCTCATACTTTAAAACACCAAACTGTGAACGCGTTTGAGATGAGATCTGATCACAGTGTGCCAAACCATTGTTCCGAAGACCTCTACCTCTACCTCGACCACGTCGCCCAATAACATTTGCATTAATCTAAAAAAGAAAATCCATACTTCGGTTAATTCGTCCGAAATGTCTTATGCCCAAGTATCACTATTTAACCGTGAAAACAAAATTAACATAACACACCTGCAGAAACTCACTACTATGATACGTATGGTTTGAGGATATGTGATAATAAGTAATATATCTTGATAACTTCTAGTTAGTTTATTATATACTTTTAGTGTGGATCAGAATAACCGGAACGCCCCTGAGAAACAAATGTCACAAACTGGATCTAATAATCAGTAAACTACACAAGTCTTTCAAGTGCAGAAGCTTACCCATGCACTCGAAATGAACCATAGATTACTGTGAAAAAAAGTAAAATTTGCATCCATTCCGTTAGTTTCGGTGACTGACATTTTGGACCTTGTGGATACGGTAACTTACCTTGAGCAAACGTTCCACTGTTTGGAGCTTTTCCATTTCGGCTTTGTGCTTAGCTGATTCTCTGCGGTGAGCTATTCTTTTTTGCCGGACGGCAATTTGCTCCGGTGTTAAAGTTGGAGTTGGTTTAGTTGAATTCAAGGATTCTAGACTAATTAGTCTGGAATGAGCTGTAGACTGCTTCATGTTCTTAATATCAGTTGGAACAGCAGTTTTCTGTGATTGTAAACTTATCTGTCGTGCAGTTAACAACTTTGGAGGTTTATATTCCATTTCATCATCTTCAGAATTGTTGCCAGAGCTAGCCCCGGCCTTCAAATTGTCACTGGTATTAGAATCCTGGTCGTCTTCAAGAGCAAGGTTTGTGTATTTCTTACGTCCACTATTTGTTGCAAGCAACCGCTCATCGAGAAACGAAACCTTTTGTTCGGCAACGGGGCGAAATTGATGTAGAAACGCAGAAAAAGCATCACTCTGAAAGACAAACATTGGCCAAAAATCATTCTAAAAGTGAACTGGATAGTAATGTTAAGTAAACATTGGTTGCTTAGCAAATTTTATTTTTATCTTTGGTTCACACCATTTAAGTTATTTTATTATAGCTGACCATTTTGTAAACCAATAATAGCTTAAATTATCTACTATATGAAAATCGTAGCACTGCTTGTATCCGGGATGATTAGTAGGTTCAGAGAGTTCACCTAACATTTAGAAAATTATTATTCCGACTGTTGCTTTCCGAAACCTGTCTTCGAATTCAGTTCATACAACTATCCTGAAACCAAATGTGATTCGTAACTCCATGATGGCCTAACAGCAGAATAATATTAAACTATATAAACTATTAATTGATGTTTGCTGTAGAAGACAGTCATATTCAAGAGCATGTTGTAATACTACTCATCCAATAATCACGGAAATACGTTACACAAGAGAGGCGAAACTGATCAACTATATCCTAAACAAAATTTATTTACGTTTTGCTAGGCTAAGTTCACTTAGTTTAATAAACTAAAAAAAAACGATGTCTTGTAGCATCCACTTAAACTAAAACATCCCGGTTTGTATGGAAAATTACCACAAACTAAAGACCTTTTCCCGGCAGATATTGTGGTGCTCATTAGAAAATTGGGTACATCGGTCACATAACAGAAGATGTAGTTTGTGCAGACCAAAGCCTAGTTGTATCCAGAAACAACAATTGGAACAGTTGCTGAATATACAGTACCTGGCGTCCCCTCATGTAACTTTAACCTATACCCCAATGCATCACATTGTTTCCATTTTATATAATTGTCTCTTAATTCAGAAATTTTTTCGAAAGGACTTAATTGTAATATTATTCGATTTTTAACTATCTAGCTGTTATTATCAAGTACAGCTATACTCCATCCTCTAAAATTCCATTTGATGTGCTGAACCATCTACATAACTTCATCCTATATGGGACTGTGACCTTGTAACTAATTTGCATAAATGTTAGGGATATTACCAACTTTACTGCATCTTTCAGTTTTCATTAAAAAGTCCTCTTACTCCAGTGGACGTTTTTATTTTTGTCTTGTAAATTGCAAAGTAGCAAGTTATGGATTGTTAGTGCTGATTTCAAGAAGGTAGAGTATAATAAGTGACTTTGGTGACTGTGTGTATCGAACATACTTGGAGACGTTATCTGCACGTAGTTCAGAGTTATATGAGCTGAATAAAGTGCAAATCAATAACAGTGCAGCATGTTATGCTGTCACTTCGTGCACATATGTGCCTGGTCCTACGTTGTAGCTGACTGACTGACTTCGTGACGGAAGTTATGTTCAGTGGTTAATTTCGGTCTGTAGAAGATCTGGTTATCATATTCCAGTTGGAGACCACTCCTTGTTTTCATACAATGCTTTCATAAACATTATGAAATACTTATCTTACCAAGTTTCGGAGTTTGCAATAACATATTGATGTACTTAGAAAGTGAACCAAAACATATAATCGGACTGAACTGTACTAATACGACAGTACGTAGGAGATCATCTGTCTTGGATTTTAGTGATAGACAGACACCTTGTTCCAAACCAATTGGTTGGAACGATCATCCAAACCAATTATCGACTCTTGCTACGTTACAACTTAATGTTAATTCACTAGAAAGCCCAGGTGAGTATTAATGACACTTAAAAGATGCCATGAAAATTGGTAGCAGCTTTGCTTTACGAACCACTTATTAAAAAAGTGAACTTTTTACCGTCCCTAAAACATTTTAATTTCCGTAGTTCTTATAACGCCACTTATACGCAAAGCAAATAAGGTAGGTCATTTAGGAGCAAGATCTCGCAGAACTTAAGTGAGAGTTGTAGACTAGCAACTGCGTGTGTCAACTAAGTCTGTTCCAACTCTCGTAAGCTACCAGTAGCAACAAGCCTGGTGTTAATAAAACAATTTGATTCTTTGGGAGGGACGCTTTACGGTCATCTTCAGAGGCATCTGTAAGGCTGGGCGAAATGTTTTGAGGAAATTTAACTTGGTTCATAGCCTCGGGAAATGAAACTAGTCAGAACACGCTTTCTGCTTCTTTAACAAGCATTCATTTACACAAAAATATAATTTATTTACTTCTGTATTATCAGTCTGCTCGAAAGAGTATTCATCGAATTCTAAGAACCTTGACCCAAAGTCGTCTGTGGCTGGTAAAGTTGAATCTGAATCTGATAAACTATGAGTAATTGTTAAATAAATATGGTACCTGACATAGCTGCGTAACACTGGTGAAGTAACTAGATGGTAGATATTAAATTGCTTCTACAATACAATAACCATCATTGATATCTAACTTACGCGGTTTATAATAATTCTAAATTACTACACTGGTGATTCGCCCAATAATTGGTTTATAAGACTCCTGAAAAAGCAGACGTGATTTCCAAAATCCTAAGTGAAAGGAGGAGAAACAAAAGCCTGTTAGATGGAACGTAATCCAGCTGTATGGATCATGACCATAAAACTATATATTAAATAATACAACTGTAACATGATATGATGTCATGTAAATCATCAGGTCTGTTGGCAGACGTAGCTAATTCATAGAGTATAGTGTATGAACCAACAAGATTTCGAAGGGAAAACCATTCAAAAGGCTACAAAACGTTCTTGCCTTTTAGGTGGTGTTGACTTTTCATGAGAATAACAATAATTCATGTACAATGACTGATTCTTTATGCTAAAACTACTGATCAGTGGAATTTAAATGAATTATCATAGGTCGTCCTATAAGTAGGGACTTCGTCGCAGCTCAAGGTCGCCTGTGTACTTGAATAAGACTGCTTTTGGAAATATAACGGCAAACAATAACATAAGACGGAATAAGCGGTGATGTGAATAACTAAATATGTTTAGTTGTGAAAGAATGCTTGCAGTTAAAATTTTGGCAATTATTACAAGTGCACATATTGCAAGGTCAATATTGGAGCTCAAAACTGTAATATCCAATATCTCTGTCATGAGCATGTATTGGTCGATTGATTCATTTGCACTCGCTTCTTGTTGTTTCAGTGCGGTTTTAGGCATTTGGTAATGTCCAACGGGTGATAGTTCAGCCACACGACTTCTCTAATTCTAGTCAGTGTAATAGTCAAAACGATTAAGTGGTAATGCGAGTGCTAAAAAAGTCGAATGTCTCAAGAATACTAGATAAACTGGCTTGCCGGGAATGCATTGAAGATGGCACAGGTATTCAGTACTTCACAGCGCTTCTACCAGCAACACCTAATATAATTTGTACCCACCAAGATAAATCAAAAGACAGATTCGAGGAGATCAGATGAGTGTGTAGCGGCAAATAAATCCCCAAAATAAATAGCTCTGTAAGTTTTCGACATTGGATGCTGACCAGATTAGTTTTAGTGGACTCATCTAGCTGAAGGCGCTCGGTCATGCATCCGTACCAGATCACGTGTGGTAACGCTGTGCTCAACATCTACCGCAATCGCTAGCCAGATTATATCAGAGAATTCCGATATATTGGTTATCGCCAAATACACTCTTCCGATCTCCTCGACTCTGTCTTTTGATTTCACTTGGTGGGTACAAATTATATTAGAAGGTGTTGCTGGTAAAAGCGTTGTCAAACACTGAATACCTGCGCCATCTTCATTGGTGAGACCGACGTGATCTGGTACACCTAATTGCAACTGTGAGTCTGTTCCTTTTTGGGATTTTCATATATTATTGCCTTATTTTTTATATATTGTGATATTTTTTCCCCGTGTCTCAGGATATCTATATATATTTTCCCTCGTATTCTCGTACTTAATATTCCCCTATGACCGAACAGATTCCTAAGGTATTTAAGATTAAGACCATGTCCCCACCCTCATTCCAACTCATGCCCTTCTGGCCCGACAATATCGAAGCCTGGTTGTGTTACGTAGAAGCCGACTTCCACGAGCACGGCGTGAACGACACACGTGCACAATTCCTCGCAGTAGTCAAGGCACTACCGCGGAAATTCAACAGGTACGTAACACCTAGTATGTTTACTAGTGATGTTTCTGACCCGTACGAAACCTTAAAGCGTTCGATTCCTAAACGAGGAGACCTAACCGGTCGACAAAGTTTAGATCAACTCTTTAATAACATAGACCTGCAGTACGGTCCTGCAAAAGATGAGAGAGGTTATAGGCCTAAGAACTTTCGACGAAGGCCTATTCAAACAACTTTTCTTGTCCAAACTTCCCCAACAGGTGCAAGCGGTTCTGGTCTCGTTTTAGAACAACGCCTTAGATGAATTGGCTGCATCTGCCGATCGTATCTTAGAAATTACGAAATCTTCTACTACCAAGGTTTTTTCAGTCAAAGAAAGGCCTCAAACGACTCAGAATGACATAACCGAGTTATGTCATACACTTACGCGTTATCTTAATTTTCGTAACGACCGTAGGCGATCACACACCCCACGTAGAAGTACTTCACGTAAGTGATCAGTCTCTAGACCACGAGAGACGGATAACCCCGACTGGTGCTGGTATCATAACTAGTATGGAAATTCTCCCAGACATTGCAGAAAACCCTGCAATTTTCTCAACTCAAAACCGACTGACTCGAAAAACAACTCGGAACACTTCCAAGCCGGCACGCGTTAACGGCAACCGTAGCCGGCGAACATAGCCGTCTGTTACACGTCACAGATGTGACAACGAGAGTTCGCTACGTCGTCGACACTGGCGCGGAAGTTAGCGTTCTCCCAGCGAATCCCAACGACCGACTTCACGAATCGGCTCTAAACTTACAGGCGGCAAATGAAAAACCTATCGCTATGTATGGCAAAAGGTACGTTTACCTTAAGGTGGGCTTACGCAAACCCATTCACTGGATCTTCGTTGTTGCAGGTGTTTCTGTGCCAATCATTGGTATGGACCTTCTACAACACCATAATCTAATCATCGATACTCGCAAACGGAGGCTAGTAGACGGAAACACTAATTTATCCGTTTGCGTAACCTCTTTTACTGGTTGCAGATTATCCCCAGTCACAATTAAGCATACGATAGACCCACTGTATCAACCACTACTCGATAAGTACTTGAATAAGACTGCTTTTGGAAATATAACGGCAAACAATAACATAAGACGGAATAAGCGGTGATGTGAATAACTAAATATGTTTAGTTGTGAAAGAATGCTTGCAGTTAAAATTTTGGCAATTATTACAAGTGCACATATTGCAAGGTCAATATTGGAGCTCAAAACTGTAATATCCAATATCTCTGTCATGAGCATGTATTGGTCGATTGATTCATTTGCACTCGCTTCTTGTTGTTTCAGTGCGGTTTTAGGCATTTGGTAATGTCCAACGGGTGATAGTTCAGCCACACGACTTCTCTAATTCTAGTCAGTGTAATAGTCAAAACGATTAAGTGGTAATGCGAGTGCTAAAAAAGTCGAATGTCTCAAGAATACTAGATAAACTGGCTTGCCGGGAATGCATTGAAGATGGCACAGGTATTCAGTACTTCACAGCGCTTCTACCAGCAACACCTAATATAATTTGTACCCACCAAGATAAATCAAAAGACAGATTCGAGGAGATCAGATGAGTGTGTAGCGGCAAATAAATCCCCAAAATAAATAGCTCTGTAAGTTTTCGACATTGGATGCTGACCAGATTAGTTTTAGTGGACTCATCTAGCTGAAGGCGCTCGGTCATGCATCCGTACCAGATCACGTGTGGTAACGCTGTGCTCAACATCTACCGCAATCGCTAGCCAGATTATATCAGAGAATTCCGATATATTGGTTATCGCCAAATACACTCTTCCGATCTCCTCGACTCTGTCTTTTGATTTCACTTGGTGGGTACAAATTATATTAGAAGGTGTTGCTGGTAAAAGCGTTGTCAAACACTGAATACCTGCGCCATCTTCATTGGTGAGACCGACGTGATCTGGTACACCTAATTGCAACTGTGAGTCTGTTCCTTTTTGGGATTTTCATATATTATTGCCTTATTTTTTATATATTGTGATATTTTTTCCCCGTGTCTCAGGATATCTATATATATTTTCCCTCGTATTCTCGTACTTAATATTCCCCTATGACCGAACAGATTCCTAAGGTATTTAAGATTAAGACCATGTCCCCACCCTCATTCCAACTCATGCCCTTCTGGCCCGACAATATCGAAGCCTGGTTGTGTTACGTAGAAGCCGACTTCCACGAGCACGGCGTGAACGACACACGTGCACAATTCCTCGCAGTAGTCAAGGCACTACCGCGGAAATTCAACAGGTACGTAACACCTAGTATGTTTACTAGTGATGTTTCTGACCCGTACGAAACCTTAAAGCGTTCGATTCCTAAACGAGGAGACCTAACCGGTCGACAAAGTTTAGATCAACTCTTTAATAACATAGACCTGCAGTACGGTCCTGCAAAAGATGAGAGAGGTTATAGGCCTAAGAACTTTCGACGAAGGCCTATTCAAACAACTTTTCTTGTCCAAACTTCCCCAACAGGTGCAAGCGGTTCTGGTCTCGTTTTAGAACAACGCCTTAGATGAATTGGCTGCATCTGCCGATCGTATCTTAGAAATTACGAAATCTTCTACTACCAAGGTTTTTTCAGTCAAAGAAAGGCCTCAAACGACTCAGAATGACATAACCGAGTTATGTCATACACTTACGCGTTATCTTAATTTTCGTAACGACCGTAGGCGATCACACACCCCACGTAGAAGTACTTCACGTAAGTGATCAGTCTCTAGACCACGAGAGACGGATAACCCCGACTGGTGCTGGTATCATAACTAGTATGGAAATTCTCCCAGACATTGCAGAAAACCCTGCAATTTTCTCAACTCAAAACCGACTGACTCGAAAAACAACTCGGAACACTTCCAAGCCGGTACGCGTTAACGGCAACCGTAGCCGGCGAACATAGCCGTCTGTTACACGTCACAGATGTGACAACGAGAGTTCGCTACGTCGTCGACACTGGCGCGGAAGTTAGCGTTCTCCCAGCGAATCCCAACGACCGACTTCACGAATCGGCTCTAAACTTACAGGCGGCAAATGAAAAACCTATCGCTATGTATGGCAAAAGGTACGTTTACCTTAAGGTGGGCTTACGCAAACCCATTCACTGGATCTTCGTTGTTGCAGGTGTTTCTGTGCCAATCATTGGTATGGACCTTCTACAACACCATAATCTAATCATCGATACTCGCAAACGGAGGCTAGTAGACGGAAACACTAATTTATCCGTTTGCGTAACCTCTTTTACTGGTTGCAGATTATCCCCAGTCACAATTAAGCATACGATAGACCCACTGTATCAACCACTACTCGATAAGTATCCTGGGATTCATCAAACGCAACCGAAACTACAGTGTGTAACCAGCAACGTTACACATCACATTACAACTACAGGACCACCTGTATTCTCTAAACCACGACGACTAGCCCCTGAAAAGCTAAGGTTAGTGAAAAACGAGTTCGATCACATGATAGACTTAGGAATCATACGACCGTCAAATAGCCCATATGCATCTTCGTTGCACATGGTCTCCAAAAATGACAGCAACGATTGGCGTTCAACTCGTGACTATCGGCGATCGAATGCGAAAACCATTTCCGATCGTTACCCGTTGCCTCACATTCACAATTTGACAGCTACCTTGGAAGGTACAATTGTTTTTTCGAAAATCGACTTGGTTAAAGCGTATAACCAAATTCCCATGGCTACTGACGACATTCCGAAAACCGCCATCATTACTACCTTCGGACTCTATGAATTTTTGCGAAAGCCCTTCGGTCTTAGAAACGCTGCTCAAACGTTCCAAAGATTCATAGACGACGTTTTTCGAGGTCTCGACTTCGTACATGCGTATGTTGACGACTGCCTAATCGCAAGTTCGGACAGAGAATCACACCTCAAGCATCTGGATCTTGTTTTCGAACGACTACAAAAACATGGCACTACTGTAAACGTTCGGAAATGCCAAATCGGGACCGACTCATTAGACTTCCTAGGACCCACTACAGATGCTCAAGGCATTCGATCCATTAGGACCAAAGTGGCGGCAATTCTGGGTTTAAATTCATAAAGGGAA